CACGAGTCTTTTCTGATAAAGCTATAAATCAATTTACAAATTTCTTTAGAGAATCAAGGGTTTATCAAAAGAATTTTCATAAATTCAATAGAGATAGTGATAGTTTAGACTATGATAATAGAGATCGTGATAGTTTAGACTATGATAATAGAGATAGTGATAGTTTAGACTTAAATTAATATTTTAAAAAGTGCACTCTAACTAAATATAACAAGTTCGCATCAACTATCAAAATACTTTTGACACTGCTTTATGTGACACTGAGTGCTTCAGTTCCTACTATTGACAAAGCTTCAGTTGAGAGAGGTTTTAGTATAAATGCCAAAGTACTCAAACAAAATTTAAATGAAAAATCAATAACTGCCTGACGTTTAGTTAAAGATCATATGCTATCAAATAATCTTCAGCCTTATACTAATGAAATTACAAACAAAATGATAATCAATGTAAAATCAGCCCATGAAAAATATAGAATGTAAGTTCAATAACAGGCAATAATAAAATCTTAGATCAAATGAGAAAGATAGTAAAATAATTTTATATAGAATAGATCTCATATAAAGTTTACATTTTGTTAAAACATTACTTTGTTCAAAACATCTTTTTAAAAAAATCTTTATTTTATGTTTCCAATAGAAGAATAAAAAAAGGAATAAGGTTCAAAAAATTCCGATAAAAATATTAAGAAAACATGGATTCAGTTGTGAAAGTATTATATCCTTCAACATTAACAAGGAAAATTATATACTTTTTATCACCGAAATCAGTGAAAAATTATTTGAAATTGGGTGAAAATCAGGGAGTAATCAGAGAAAATGGATTTATAAAACTGCCATGAACCCTGTAAAAGTAGTGTCCATATATTAACATAATACATAATAAAATAAGTACATGATCGTGCATACACCGAGTTATACATAAGCCATATCAATAAGACCTAAATAAGGAGCATACAAAATGTATTTAATTATCTAGCTTTTTATGAATAACCGCGTTGGTATTTCAACAAAAGATAAACGATGGTTGTTTTCAATTTCCTGTTTTACTTTTATTGTTTTCTTAAACTTAGGCGCACATTTTAAAAAGTGCACAAATATTATTTTGTTGTGTCAACAAAGCACACCCAGCCAACATATTCATCTGGTCCCTAACACATATAGACTACTTCATGCCCTCGCACGGATTTTTCATACAAATTTACCTAGGTTTTAAATAAAAATAAACCACCCTATAATATATATATATATATATATATATATATATATATATATATATATATATATATATATATATATATATATATATATATATATATATATATATATATATATATATACATATATATATATATATATATATATATATATATATATATATATATATATATATATATATATATATATATATATATATATATATATATATATATACATATATATATATATATATATATATATATATATATATATATATATATATATATATATATATATATATATATATATATGTATATATATACACACACACGCAGTGGCGTAGGAAAGTCGCAAAGGTTAGCTGAAAACATTAATGAAAAAGGAAAAAGTTCCTCAATTTTGTTATACAACAAAATAGATGAAAATGATCTATTTATTCAATTGTTTAACACACGCAATGTGATTAATCATCTTTTTAACTAATTTTTAACCATCTTTTGCGAGCACTTTTTATTTAAAAAATAGTATGCGATAGTATCTTAAACAGTTAAATGGATATACTTTTCCGTGGTAATGTTTAATTGTGATTGAGTCATTGCAGACTGGAAAATGATAATTCCGCTGTTGCTATCATAAAAGTTTTTTTAAAACTGTTTAGGATATGGGGAGTATCAGCCCCCCCTCCAGTGTTTCAGTTGGGGGGAGGGGCGGGCTATCGCCACCTCCTTCCCCCTGTTCCTACGCCATTGTATATATATATATATATATATATATATATATATATATATATATATATATATATATATATATATATATGTATATATATATATATATATATATATATGTATATATATATAATATATATATATATATATATATATATATATATATATATATATATATATATATATATATATATATATATATATATATATATATATATATATATATATATATATATATATATATATATATATATATATATAACTTAAGTTATATATATATATATATAACCAAATAAATAGCAATTGCTATTTATTTGGTTAAAAACATATTAGGTTACCATTACTAAAAAAAGTTAAAAAAAGTTTCCTAGCTAACTCATCTAACTTGATTAAGCGTTGACATTTTTTTATTTATTAGAAAATAGTTTTGTATACTATCTGAATTTGATTACAAAACCCATCGAAATATTTATCAAATAGAACATCGTATAATCAAATTGAACATCGTGCAATTCAAAGTTTATTTCATAATAGATCATTTTTTCTGAAAACAATCAGTATATTTATACAGCAAAATTAAACAAAATAGAACACTGCTAAAATAGACCTGATAATTCTTATGAGACAACATTTAGTAAAACTCTTCACCAGTTGACGTTAATAAATAAGTCAATCTTTCCTGACAACTTTTTTATTTGTCAACTTCCAAAAAAAATATTCTTTTCGTGCGTATTTTTCTTTGAAGTCCAAAATCTGTGAAGTATTATTATCTGCATTTTAAGTCTATATTTATCATGTCTCTTTATTTTATTACATTATGCGACCCTTATGTTTTGAAAGTTAGAGTCGTTGTTATTTTTATTTAATTGTAGATGCATTTAATAGTGATTTTTTTTGTTGGAGTTAATAAAGCGCCAGATTTATTTAATGATTTTTAAGATAGTATCTTTTTTTAATCATAGGAAGGTGTTTGCGATGGCTATTGATGTATTGATATCCCCAAATGCAGCAAACTCTTTTCGCTGCGTTGGATTTTTTGCGGGTAATATATTACCATTGCGTGTGATTTCAGTTTCTAATTTCACAACTAGATTAGCTGGATATAATTTAGACATATTCGATAAAGAGTGAGTTTTATAAAAATTGGATTGTCCTAATTTTTGTCTCTGAACGTGAACAATTTAATATTTATGTTTAATGACGGCATGAATAGTTTGAGTTGAGTTTGACAACTTAACGATCTACAATTTCATGTGTTTTTTTATTTATTCTGGAGTCTCAACTAAAGCAAGATTTTTGCTTCGTTTTTATGTAACTTGTTATTTGTATTAACAATTTTATTCCCCAATCTCACTCTGTTGCCACTTTTGAAGCGCTTAATTCGTGATTATATTCTCAAGCACATGATTGATCACAATTTTTTGATAGCAATCAACACGGACTTATTCCTCGAATATTGTGCATGACAAAACTAATCAAGGTTGTTAATATTGACCAATTTTATATTGATTGGTTAGAGGTCCTCAGTGGAGCTGAATACCTCTAACCAATCAATATAAAATTGATTGCGCAATGTTTTTTACGAGGGGATTTTCTTTTTTTGTAATCTTTATCATTGAAATGCCTGGTCTCACTCGCCACAAAAATAGTAGTGGCGATAAAAAATATTTCTGACTACCAAATTCTCAAACAGAATCTTGATCACTTTGTCGAATAGCCCGCACCTGCATGAGTTTGAACGTAAAAAGTGTAAATATTTTTTGATAAAAGAGTTTACATCCCTCTTAACACAGCATTTATTGACAACCTTCCATTTATTGACACAACCTCAATAATAAATAATAACCTTTTAAGAAACACTGCCTTGGTGAGACTAGATCTGAGCATGACCTTGACATCATTGTCAACAACCAACTTATGTGGTGAGTCCAAATAGCAAATGCAGTTGCCAAGACTAACACTTCAGGAGATGATTTGAAAAGAAAATTCCAGTATTAGGATATTAACAACCTTTGTGTGCTATATACAACTTATGTACAATCTTGAGTTTCTCTCTTCCGCCTGGAGTCTATATTATTGTGTAGACATTGACGCTTTTGAAACAGTGTAAAAAAGAGCCGCTAAGTTTGTGCCTTATCTTAACCCTTTCGCGACTGAGCTAAAAACAGCTACATGACTGCGCTTAAAATAAAGAACTAGGATCATGTTCAATTGAAAGAGTATAAAATAAAAACTACCAGTCAGAATTTTAAAAATAAGACCTTGTTTTTTTTACACGTCACGCGTCAGGAAAGGGTTGAGCCTCTAAAGTATTGTCAAAAGTTAGCTAATACGAACATTTAGCCACATCTAGTGGCTGAATGTTGGTATTAACTAACTTTTGACAATAAACGGCGTAAAGGCAGTCTTGTTCAGTACTTCAAGATTTGCTTTGTAGACCAAATCGGCTAACTCCAGCGCTGAGTATGCAGGCACCTGCAAGAGGTTTCCGGGAACAATGCCATCAATTTCAACTTTTGCTCCAGCTGCAGATTGCAAGCAAACAGGGGCGGACTGGCCATGTGGAAGATGTGGACTATTCCACATGGGCCGTTTTCATAATCTCATAAAAATGTAAAATTCAATAAAATATATAAAAAAATAATTTTTTTTTTCACTTATTACTAACGGTTATATACTACATTAATTTTGCCTATTTAACATTATTCAATTTGTTAATGTTACGATAAAAGTGTAGCCAGACGCAATAAATTATTTTTTATATTCATTAATGTTTATATTCTTTAATAATAAACCCGGGTTATCTGTCTCCACAGAGCTCCGTTTCTAGCCGTCTATCCTTGTGCCTTTGAAAATGCAAACGCAAATATTACATATTTTAGTTCAGTTGCATTTTAACGTTATTTGAATTGGTGTATGATATTATAGTTTGTATGTGTTGAATTACTTCGTATTCTTCATTTTTTATTCTGCTTTCTGTTTTTTAAAAATAGTAAGTTAAATTAAATTTATATAATTATTATTACTAGAACTATTTTAATTTCCTTATTTTTTATTATTAATAACAGTATTACATATAATGGATAAAAATGAAAAAAAGAAAGTTTTGGGAGGGACGGAAAAACTTCGTTTACGACGAAAACGCGAATTAGAGTCCGTGGCGCGAACATGTCACACGATTGATAAAATGTTTAAAATACATGAAGACATGCCTTCTTCAACCGCCTCTACCAGTTCTTTAATTCATCCTGAACTGGAAAAAATAGAAATTGATCATGTACAACAAAATAAAGAAAAGGAAAAAACAAATGAAGAGAAAGAAAATACAAATAATGCTTTTTTTAGAAAACCTCACAACAATAATATTGAAGAATTTTTTAATTATCATCCGAAACAACCGGTTCAAAACGTTCCATTTAACAATAAAATATATTTTCGTAAACACGATCAGCAAAATCGCCAATGGCTATCCTTTTGCGAAGATAATAACAAATTATATTGTTCAATTTGTCTTGCGTACGGTGGGTCAAACGAAAATATTTTTACTAAAGGTTTTTCCAATTGGGACTATGTTCATCAGTACATTGAAAGACATGAAACAAGTAAATTTCACGATGAAAATGTTATGAATCATTTTATGCGCTCAAAAAATACTTTAAACATAACAACACAATTTCGATCATTACGAAAAGAAAATATCATGTTCAATAGAAATGTGCTAACCAGAGTAATAAATGTAATAAAATTAATAGGCAAAAGAGGTTTAAGCTATAGAGGAAAGAGAAACGAGAGCCTCTATACATTTGATGACGATAACGTAGATCATGGCACGTTTATAGAAATCATTATTTTATTAAGCAAATATGACGATACACTGAAAAATCATTTACAAAACTGTATAGAAAAAAGTAAAAAAATTCATGAATGTGGAAAAAGACAAGGAAGGGGTAACTTAATTAGTTTTTTATCCAAAACTACTGTAAATTACGTAATTGAAGCAATTTCTCAATTAATAAAAAATAAAATTTCACAACAAATTAATGACTCTGGAATGTACAGTATCCAAATAGACACTACACAAGACGTAAGTGTGCAAGACCAGTGTGTGGTTGTTGTGAGGTATATTAATAATAATAATATTAATGAAAGACTTTTATCCACCATTAATATGGATTCATCGACTGGTGAATCATTTTACAACGTTGTAAAAGAACTTTTAGAAATTAACAATATCGATATAACAAAATGTATAGGTAATTCTACGGACGGTGCAAGTAATATGCAAGGCAAATATCAGGGTTTTTCTGCTCACATGTTAAAGTCAAATGCTGAAAATGTGCACGTATGGTGTTATGCACATATTTTAAATTTAGTTATATCTGACATTACTCAATCTTCCATAACGGTTGCTACATTATTTAATTTGTTAAATTTAATTGCTGTTTTTATTAGAGAATCATACATCCGAATGAATATGTGGAATTATTTTAATAAAGATAATAAAAGAAAGAAATTGAATATAATTGGAGAAACACGATGGTGGGCCAAAGATGCTATCCTTAAAAAAATATTTGGTAACTATAACAACCCCAAAGATGGATTATTTGTGGAATTAATACTGACGTTAAATGAAATTTCTTTAAAACCTAATTTTAAAGCAGAAATTCGCCAAAAGGCTAAATATTTTATAGATTCTCTAACAAAATATGAAACTATAATTAACTGCTAAATTATTTTTAAAAATTTTCGAAATTACAACGCCAATTTCCAACTATTTACAAGAGAAAGGTTTAGATTTTATTAAAGCTTACAATATGATTTCCTGTGCAATTCAATCTCTAAAAGAAATATCAAGAAATTTCTGTGTAATTAATGAAGTTTCGGATGAATTTGTAAATTATGCCAATAATAATTTAGATGAAATGGAATGCGATGTTATGCTGGAATCTAAATTACCAGAAATTAGGCGACGTCAGAAAAAAATAATGCCCGGAGAAAAAGCTTTGGATGAAACTACTTCGAATGCGTTGAAGAATTTTGAAGTGAATGTGTATAATTTTGCTATTGACATGGCTGTTCAAAGCATGGAAAATCGTTTTTCAAAAAATCAGTCATTTTATTATGACATAGGATGTCTGGATCCAAAAAATTTTACGGAACCTACTCCCAGTAACGCTTTCGAAAAATTAAGCAGTGTTTTAATAAAGTTTAACCCAATTGCAACAAAACAAAATCTTATTGAAGAATTAAATAATTTTAAAAAAAATTGGAATCTTTTGAAAGAAAATGTAAACGACTCATTTAGAAAAGTCTCAGAAGATAATGTAATTAATGATAGTGATGATGATGACAACGACGATGATAATGACAAAACTATTTCGCCCTCTCATTGCGGAGCTTGTAAAAATTGTCCAATTTGTTGTTATAATATTTTACAACGCTACAATATGTTAAGCGGAACATACGCTACACTTGGACAAGCTTATAAGTATTTATTAACTTTGTCTGTGACTCAAGTGTCCTGTGAACGAAGCTTTTCTATTTTAAAATATATAAAAAATAGACTTAGATCAACCATGTCTCAAGAAAATTTAGATGCATTTATGCTGATGGCAGTGGAAAAAGACTTATTAAACAGTATTGATTCTGACGACGTTATTAATCTTGTTGCAAAAAAAAGCAATTTATTGTTTGAGAAATTAATGTTGTAATTTGTGTTTGTATTTTATAATTGTTAATTATCCTTGCTTTACAGTATTATATATTTTTTTATTGTTAAGTACTTTGTTTTTACGTATATGTATTCTAATAAATTTTTTCTGTTCGATATTTATTCATTAATGTATATATTTATAAATTAAGCATAACTTTGTAATTTACGTCTGTTATCTTTGCTGCTTTTCCTCATTTTTCGTTGGCCTACAGGGCCGTTAAAAATATTTTTCCACATCATAATAATTTGGCCAGTCCGCCCCTGCAAGCAAAGTTTACTAACCTGCTCACAAGTATATAAGTGTAACCCGAAAGTTTTAATAGTTTAAAAAAAAAAAAATTTTGCTAAACTTTTAATTTGTTAATTTTTTAATTTGTTTAAATTAGTTTTAAAAAATAAAAACTTTTAGTTTTAAAAAATCGCCAATTTTTATAAAAATCGCATTATTCATTGATTTCAAAAAATTGTCTAGACTCAAATCATATTTCTTATAAACTAATCAAAGAGTTTTTTTAAAAAACTTATTTGTGAGAAAAAAATGGATTTGAATTATATAATGACATAACAATAAACATATATAATATTTATTAACAATGCATTGTTTGTAAAAAAACTCATTCGTTTATTTAAAAACTTTTATTTAAAAAGCTGTATATTCGATTCGGTACAGAAGAGGAATCGAAGAAATGCACAATGGTTGATAGCTGACAAAACCGAATTTCAGACTTTATAATAGATCTGAAAATATATTAAATTGAATAATTTGTACGTTAATACTTGTAGAGTAAAACTTTATAAAATTGTTCAGTCGGATAGTCAAGATTTGTAAGATTATCAAATCTGCATAAGTAATAATACCATTATATATTATTAATAATATTTTTGTTATTATGTTTGAAAATTCCTAATTTATAAAAAAACTAGTAAAATGTTTATTTTAGCATGCATTTAAATTTATTTATTATAGTTTAAAGTAATAAAACTTTATTTAATATTTCGGAAATAGAAAAAAAAAATTAAACCTTTATTTCGAATGGTGATTCGAATTCATGAAAATAAAAATCAGGTCACATGTAAATGTATAAAATACACGTGATTCTGTTTAAGTTCAAAGTTTTTTCAAGTTTTAACAAAAGTTTTGACCAAACCTTTAATTTGTATTCAAAATAAATTTTGGATTAAAAACTTTCTTTATCGTCAAAAGCAAAATTTAATAAATTTGTAGTAAAAATAAAAAACAAATGAATAAATCTAATAATTTAAATAAATAAAGATCTAAAAATTAGAGATCATAAAGATATAAATTTAAATATATAAGATTTAAATATTTTTTAATATTTAAGATTCTAGCTTTTAGATCTTGGAGCAGTTTAGCGTCTTTTTGTAAAAATATTTTTATTATAAAAGAACTAATAATTTTTATGTAATAAAATTTAATGTGTTTAGAGAAAGAATCTGCATATTATACGATATATATATATATATATATATATATATATATATATATATATATATATATATATATATATATATATATATATATATATATATATATATATATATATATATATATATATATATATATATATATATATATGGATTATAATAAAGAAACTCAAGAAAAACTATCAAAATATTTAACGCCTATATTTATTTTTGACATTTCTGAGCAAGATGAAATTAAAATATATACAAAAGCTGAAAGTAAAATATATTACATTTATTATTTAAAAACTCTATACTCTTTCTTTTATCTTCTTATTGTGTTGTATTTTGCAGAATAGCTCCATGATATAAAATAATCTAAAATTTCGGTGTGCTTCAAATCAATAGCCAATTGAAACGGTGTCTTGCTTTGTGATTCTAGTTGTATGTCAGCTGATGCATTTACCAAAAGTCGAACAAGAGGTAAGTTTTTTTTAAAAATTGCTATATGCAAAGGAGATAGTCCATTAGTATCAACGATGTTTACACTACTATAAAGGGGTATTAGATAAGCAACAGTATTGATATTATTTGCTAGAACAGCAGCATGTAGCGGTGTCCATCCCTCTATATCTGTTCGATCGATAGGAAAACCCTCTTTTAATAAGATATAACAACATCGCGAACATCCTTTGTACGCTGCTTGATGAACAAGAGTTTTTATTCCAGGAATGTCTGTTGAATCAAGTTTATTTAGACAGTCTCTCAATTTGTCACACTCGTCGTTGATAATAAAACGAAGCATTTGTTCTACTATAAGCGGTTGCTCTAATTTTGGTAATGAATGCAAGTCTTTATGAAGAGCGCGTTTATTATTTCTTTCGTCAGAAACCTTTCGGTTCATAAAAGATGAAACTAAACTCCAAGCGTTACGTTTCGATGAACTTTCGGAAGCTGATTGGTGCAAATTTACGTTACTTGGATTTATATTAGGTGGACTAACCGTGGAAAATCTCTTTCGAATGTTATTTGATATCATAGAACCTTTTGTTTGCAGAGAAATCTTTCTAGACTTGTTTATTTCGGGAACTGCTGCTGTAAGATCTGGACTTTGTTTACCAAGCAAATCATTAAAAGAACTCGCTCTTCGGACGCGTAATTTATGCTCTAGAGGACTATCTAGTTCAAAAGATTTCAATAAATTGCCACCTAATGTTTGCGATCGGTTACGAATGTGTAAATTGACGAAAGATACTTTTCTTGTTCGCTGTTCAGTATCTTCATCTGAAACTCTTCTTTGTCTTTGTAAAGTAGGTTTGCTAAAAGTCTCCATATTTCCCAAAGTATTAATAAAACTTATTTTCATTGAAGGTCTTCTCATTACAGTTACTACTATTTCTTTTTTATTTGCATATTTTTTTATTTTGTTTGATTTACGTAAAATTACGCCTCCCATTATTCGAAAGATTTTTATTTAAATTTTTTTTTTCTATAAAACTCGTAAAAATGGCATTAAATGGCAAATAGTCAAATTAATAAAAAAAATTTATTGTTTGCATATGATGCTTTATAAAAACTTCCTTTTCTTTTATCTTTTCTGACTAATTAAGACTCTATGTTCCCGTGCTAAATTTTCTCGTGATTCAATCAACTATTCAAAGCATTGTAAAAATGGATTTAAATTTAATTGTTTTATCATTTTATTTATTTCGGCATTTTAAAAGAATTTATTAGAACTATTTATTTTTTTTTAATTAAATTTTTATCATAGTGAACATTTTTTTGTTTAAACGTTTAACAACTTCAATATAGCGTTCACACAATCTACAATAACTATTAGATGTGTTTAAACATTTAAATGAAGTTCACTTTGAAAAAAATGTTTTTCAAAACATATCAATATATAATCTGATATTTATGATATATCATAAAATATCGGGGAGATAAAAAAAGTGGAGATAATATCGTATTTTAGAATATTTAAATTTAAGTTAGATTTAAAATTTAACTGTTTTATCTTTTTCAAATAAAACTCTAAAAAATGTTTTTTTAAGAGGTTTAAAAATTTTTAAATTTTTTTATGTGTTTAAATATGTTTAACATAGAACAAAAAACTCTCTTAAAAAAACTTGTCATAATGACACTGTTTGCATGCACAGTTACTAACTTGTCGTAATGACACTGTTACAAATTTACCATTTACAATCACAGTTACAGCTTATTTGATTAATTTTTTCTTATATTTATAAAAATATGACTTAATAAAAATGTAAACATTTTTTATAGAGGGTATAAATACAGTAACGTCATACGTCATCAAACGAAAAAAAAACAAACAAGTTTATGTTATGTCTGATGACGGTCTGAATTAATCAGAATTAAAGATTACTAATAAAGAAAATAGTTTGTACGCAGCTGCGTTTTATGTTTTTGTTTATTGGATAAGTCAGACTTTTACTAAGTTTGACTGATTTTAAATTCTTCTTGAACTTTCTTTATCAACTTTGTATTTAATAATCCGTCTGTCATATCATTGTAAAGTCGGGTCTTTTTGGGGTCTTTTTCAGCAAAAACCTATTTAGGATTTGTTTTGAATTCCACACATACTCACACACATGCACACACACACACACACACGCACACACACACACACACACACACACACACACGCACACACACAAATAGTTCAAAACAAGAACTAATACTGAGAAACACAAAAAATATTGTAGTATATTGTATATACTATTCTATATACTATATATTTTACTATAACAGCATCTATTTTACTATAACTTATCTATGTTTCGCTTAAGATTATATAGTTATCTTTATTATATAGTTATCATTTAGAGTTCTAACTCAGAAATCCAAGGTTTGACACCAGTTCTAGCTTATTAAGCGACATTGGTAGGGAAGAAGGCCTGATCTTTCTTGTTAAATGCTTTACCGTGGTGCTCTGTGTTAAGACCATGAGGACCTCTGGGAGCACCTTAATAACTACAAAAAAAAAAATTTAAAGTAAAATTAGAGGTATTTCAGACCAGGATGCGGTATCCCAAAAGGGCTCTGGCTTTCTCTATCTCTTTATGCTTTTTCCTGGTCTTTGGTGTCCAGATGCTCTAATGACTTGGAACCTAATCTTTTTTTAGCCTGGAATATTACGTTTTTGAAGCTCCTGTATACCAAAAACCGGGAAGAAATGATTTTTTTTTGACTTTCTAATCCAAAGTTCTTTTTGGGAATTCGCATTCCTGGTTTTAGAAATCTGGCCGGATACATAGCCGGATGATTTTATTTTTCATGTTCGACCAATATTGCCTCAAATTGTTATACTTTTTTTTTAACTTTTTAGAAAATTTTTAAAAATTTAAAAGGTTCAGCTCAAGTATACTTGTCGAGCACATTTGTATCCAATTTAGTAAAAAAAAAATTTTTCGAATAATTTATAATATTAAAATTTATAGCACCCACAGTGGTTAGAGTTCTGACAGAGCACCCACATCGATAGCACCCACAGTGGTTAGAGTTCTGACAGAGCCGGAGGTCCAAAGTTTGATTTCAACTCTGGCCATA